CAGCTCAGAAAATGACAATGACCATCCTCATCTCGTTGTGTAGCTGGACATAGACAAGGGCACCCAGAAAAAGACACACATTTCTCTAAAGAACTCGCCCAGGGCTGCTGAAAGATGAATGATAACCTATCTCCAAGTTTGGGGCTTTTTACCCGTGAATCTTCACTTTGCGACTAAACTATTCACAGCAGTGCCAAATTTTCTGGGTCACTGAATGTGGACGCCAGCGCCCTACAAGCAAACCAAAAATCAAACCAATGCGACCACTGACATTACAGCTGGCTCATGTTATAGAGAGGTACATTGAAATTCAAAAGGTGAGCACAAATGGTCAAAATCCGACATTTTCTCACCTTTATGCCCGTTCGCAGTTAAGAAAATGACCTTGACCATCCTCATCTCGTTGTGTAGCTGGACATAGACAAGGGCACCCAGAAAAAGATCCACATTTCTCTAAAGAACTCGCCCAGGGCTGCTGAAAGCTGAATAATAACCTATCTCCAAGTTTGGAGCTTTTTACCCGTGAATCTTCACTTTGCGACTAAACTATTCACAGCAGTGCCAAATTTTCTGGGTCACTGAATGTGGGTGCCAGCGCCCTACAAGCAAACCAAAAATCAAACCAATGCGACCACTGACATTACAGCTGGCTCATGTTATAGAGAGGTACGTTGAAATTCAAAGGTGAGCACAAATGGTCAAAATCCGACATTTTCTCACCTTTATGCCCGTTCGCAGCTCAGAAAATGACAATGACCATCCTCATCTCGTTGTGTAGCTGGACATAGACAAGGGCACCCAGAAAAAGACACACATTTCCCTAAAGAACCCGCCCAGGGCTGCTGAAAGATGAATAATAACCTCTCTCCAAGTTTGGGGCTTTTTACCCGTGAATCTTCACTTTGCGACTAAACCATTCACAGTGGTGCCAAATTTTCTGGGTCACTGAATGTGGACGCCAGCGCCCTACAAGCAAACCAAAAATCAAACCAATGCGACCACTGACATTACAGCTGGCTCATGTTATAGAGAGGTACGTTGAAATTCAAAGGTGAGCACAAATGGTCCAAATCCGACATTTTCTCACCTTTATGCCCGTTCGCAGCTCAGAAAATGACAATGACCATCCTCATCTCGTTGTGTAGCTGGACATAGACAAGGGCACCCAGAAAAAGACCCATATTTCTCTAAAGAACTCGCCCAGGGCTGCTGAAAGATGAATAATAACCTGTCTCCAAGTTTGGGGCTTTTTACCCGTGAATCTTCACTTTGCGGCTAAACTATTCACAGCAGTGCTCATTTTTTTGGGTCACTGAATGTGGGTGCCAGCGCCCTACCAGCAAACCAAAAATCAAACCAATGCGACCACTGACATTACAGCTGGCTCATGTTATAGAGAGGTACATTGAAATTCAAAGGTGAGCACAAATGGTCAAAATCCGACATTTTCTCACCTTTATGCCCGTTCGCAGCTCAGAAAATGACAATGACCATCCTCATCTCGTTGTGTAGCTGGACATAGACAAGGGCACCCAGAAAAAGATCCACATTTCTCTAAAGAACTCGCCCAGGGCTGCTGAAAGCTGAATAATAACCTATCTCCAAGTTTGGGGCTTTTTACCCGTGAATCTTCACTTTGCGACTAAACTATTCACAGCAGTGCCAAATTATCTGGGTCACTGAATGTGGGTGCCAGCGCCCTACAAGCAAACCCAAAATCAAACCAATGCGACCCCAGAAATACAGCTGGCTCATGTTATAGAGAGGTACGTTGAAATTCAAAGGTGAGCACAAATGGTCAAAATCCGACATTTTCTCACCTTTATGCCCATTCGCAGCTCAGAAAATGACAATGACCAACCTCATCTCGTTGTGTAGGTGGACATAGACAAGGGCACCCAGAAAAAGACCCATATTTCTCTAAAGAACTCGCCCAGGGCTGCTGAAAGCTGAATAAAAACCTATCTCCAAGTTTGGGGCTTTTTACCCGTGAATCTTCACTTTGCGGCTAAACTATTCACAGCAGTGCCAAATTTTCTGGGTCACTGAATGTGGGTGCCAGCGCCCTACAAGCAAACCAAAAATCAAACCAATGCGACCCCAGACATTACAGCTGGCTCATGTTATAGAGTGGTACGTTGAAATTCAAAGGTGAGCACAAATGGTCAAAATCCGACATTTTCTCACCTTTATGCCCGTTCGCAGCTCAGAAAATGACAATGACCATCCTCATCTCGTTGTGTAGCTGGACATAGACAAGGGCACCCAGAAAAAGACCCATATCTCTCTAAAGAACTTGCCCAGGGCTGCTGAAAGCTGAATAATAACCTATCTCCAAGTTTGGGGCTTTTTACCCGTGAATCTTCACTTTGCGGCTAAACTATTCACAGCAGTGCCAAATTTTCTGGGTCACTGAATGTGGGTGCCAGCGCCCTACAAGCAAACCAAAAATCAAACCAATGCGACCACTGACATTACAGCTGGCTCATGTTATAGAGAGGTACGTTGAAATTCAAAGGTGAGCACAAATGGTCAAAATCCGACATTTTCTCACCTTTATGCCCGTTCGCAGTTAAGAAAATGACAATGACCATCCTCATCTCGTTGTGTAGCTGGACATAGACAAGGGCACCCAGAAAAAGATCCACATTTCTCTAAAGAACTCGCCCAGGGCTGCTGAAAGCTGAATAATAACCTATCTCCAAGTTTGGAGCTTTTTACCCGTGAATCTTCACTTTGCGACTAAACTATTCACAGCAGTGCCAAATTTTCTGGGTCACTGAATGTGGGTGCCAGCGCCCTACAAGAAAACCAAAAATCAAACCAATGCGACCCCAGACATTACAGCTGGCTCATGTTATAGAGAGGTACGTTGAAATTCAAAGGTGAGCACAAATGGTCAAAATCCGACATTTTCTCACCTTTATGCCCGTTCGCAGCTCAAAAAATGACAATGACCATCCTCATCTCG